TCAGCAGGTAAACTGACTGCTTCTACGGTGGCTGACGACACAGACTGCAGAGAAGAATTGGACCTTACTGCAATATATTTTGGTTACTATTGGATAGATGATGCACAGACAGACACAGGAGACCTCAAAAAAACATTGGAGGTTACTATATAATTATATAAATGTACTCTTTATTAGATATTTTCCAAAAAAGTTAGAAAATTTCCATAAAAAACAAAATCCTGTACTAAAATCTGTGTTTTTTCTTCGTTATCTTGAACACCTATATTTGGCCAATCATATATCAACGGTCATCTGTCAATCAATTTTTTTTCGGTCATAGCATCTTGATTCATATACGCTACTATACGCAACGGTTGAAATCAGAAATCAGAATCCTTTCCCATTGAGTTGCGTCCCAGTGTTCACGGGGATGGACGTCTGTGTCATCAGCAGGCGTAGAGCTAACAGAACTGGCAGCGTTGCGAGGCAAGGGCTCAAATATGTACGGCTGGAAGCCTTCTACACCAAACCAAGCTTCTGCCGCCCTGGTGTCCTCTTCCACAACATCTTCGTCCCGCTTTCCTCCTCTAAATAAAAAATGGACGACAGAGGAGACTCATCCACGACCTCCGACACTAAACTCTCCTCCTCTTGCATGTTTCCTCTGTCCATAGCGTTCCTTGACAGTGTCGTTCCTAAGTCACCAATTTAGTACTACTTGGTCCCAATGGAATTTCCCATTGGGAACATACTAGCACTAAGTTGCTAACAGGTTAGCGTGATGCTTCCGACAAACCGGCCACAATCAGACTTCCTTGCAAACCTTCCGCCACAACAATCCTGCCCCCTTGATAAGCAACCAATCACAAAGTCAGGCACCGCTCGGAAGAATTCAGAAATGCAACCGTTGGAACATCCGCTTCCCTACGACTTTAAACATTTGGTTTGACTCAACATGTCAAACACTTTTTCCTCCTCCTTGCACCTTCTTCTACTGAGCCTATGTTTAAAGTGAATTTCTCCAATGTGAAATCAATGAAGTCTATCTTATCTTATTCAGTTCAATTCTGTTTATTTATATAGAGCCAATTCATAAAAACATGTCATCTCAAGGCACTTTACAGAGACTATTCAACTACCGGTAGATCATACAGTCGGATTGGTTCAAAGTTTTCTATCTAAGGAAAACCAGTTGATTACATCGACTCATTGACTAGAAAGGCAATCCATTACAACAAGCATGCTTGTAGCGACAGTGGAGAGGAAAAACTCCTTTTTAACAGGAAGAAACCTCCAGCAGAACCAGGCTAAGCGTGAGCGGCCATCTGCTGAGGCCGACTGAGGTTTTATCTTAGCCAACACGCAATCAAGGACATATTCTGGACTTGGCCATCAGCAAATGTCTAAATATTTCCTATGTTTCTGATGTTGCCTTATCAAACCATTTCTCTATTTACTTTGAAACCATCTTTACAACTGATGTGATCACCAAAATAAATGTTATAAGAAAGTGTGTCATTTCTTATAATGTCATTGTTTATCATAACTTTAATGGACAGCACAATTAATAACTTTACCAGGGCTTATCCTTCTCCTTCCACTTTACCCTGTAACTCAGTAGTTAAGCTGGTTGATAGTTTCCATTCTAAAGTTGCAGACATCAGTTATTCCATTGCTCAAGTTAAAGTAAAAGAGAAGATGAAATCTGCATGGAGAAGTGATCGAGCAGTGAGAAAAGAAAAAAAGGAGTGCTGAAAAGGCGAACGAAGGTCGAGAAAAAAATGGATTCCAGGTTCACTGTGAAATCTACAGTATAAAGAGAAATGTCAGATATAATTTACAGCTAAAAGATGCAAGAGAATATGTTTTTCTGAGGTTTTAAACAAAAGCATCAACAATGCTGGCGCCTCATTCGCTGCAGTCAACAGGTTAACAAACACACCTATGTACAAAAAAAAAAGGCCTGCAATGACTTTGCGAATCCCTTTACTAGCTACGTTTACATGGACACAACTAATCGGATTGAAGGCCTGATCAGATCAAAAATGTTTCATGTAAACATGTCAGACTGAAGATTCTAATCCGATTCGGTCCGATCGGAAATAAATTTAATTCCGAAAGAGAGAGGTGGTTTTTGCCGATCGCCATTCCGATTGGCGTCCATGTAAACACCCATTCGGATCTTAAGAGTAAAATAATCTTCACTGCGCATGTGTGCGACGTAGAGAGAGGTGGTTTTTGCCGATCGCCATTCCGATTGGCGTCCATGTAAACACCCATTCGGATCTTAAGAGTAAAATAATCTTCACTGCGCATGTGTGCGACGTCAGCGTGACGTTTTTCCGCCTTGTCAACAACAGGAAACCACCGGTCGCTCTCGCTCTCGCTGTGAACAACATGGCGGGAGGAGTCTAGGAACGCCGACTTATACACTCAGTTTAATTAAAAGCTGCAGGAAGCAGGAATTTATCCTCCTCCTCTTCCTCTTTTCTCTCTCCACAGCCCACTCGCTCTCCCACGCCGGTTCAATCGCTCATTCTCTACATTTTCTCTCGGACATTTCGCTGCCAAGCGCTTTTTTCCTCCTCTCTCCGTTTTTCTTTCCGCTCGCTCCGAGCGCATCGTTTGTCAGGCCTCCCAAAAACCAGACGCAGACAGAACTGCCAAGTTTGGCAGGAAGTTCTGCGCATGCTTAAAAGATTTAATCTGATCCAACGCTTGGTACATGTATACACACGTCATGATCGGATCATTTCATTTAGTGTCCATGTAAACGGAGATTTTGAATTTCCGATCAACTAGAATAAACTGCAAACTGCAAAAGATTAGAAGAAATAAATGAGCCGGTTCTGAGGTCCTTATTCTACGTTCACACCACAAGCAGCAGAAGCAGCTGGTTTACATGCAAAGTCGATGGTTGACGCGCATCTCGGCGCCGCAAAAGGTCCTGCTGTGCGTTATGAACGCAGCATTACACTGACTCCCTGTAGCTCAGATAATAAACTTTAAAATGCACCATTAGTCTTTAAATCGCTGAATAGATCAGCAGCTCAATCCATAACAGATCTAATGTCAGCGAACCACTCGGGTCTTCTAGTTCCAGCCTACTCCGTCCCCCCAGAACTAGAAGCAAACATGGAGAGCAGCATTTAGTTCTTATGCTCCACTGATCTGGAAAAAAACATCCAGGAGACTGAAAAAGTGCTGAAAGCCTGAATTCTTTGAAGTTCAACTGTTAACCGAGGTATTATTAGTTTAAGTTTGTGGTCTGTGAGGGATTTGCACAAACCAGCCAGAAAACCACTGAAATTTTTCAAAAAAAAGTCTTAATTTATTCCAAAAGTTTTCAAAAAATGATAAACTGGGCCCAAAAACAGAAGTCAACAAAACAGAATTCAATTCAGGCTTTAACATAAAGAACTCGAGCACAAACTGACCTCGAGGGAAACTTAAATAGCGGCTGATCAGACCACTGTTGACACACAAGGGGGGTAACTGACTAACAAACTAATAAACAAATAAACTTAATTAAACAGATAAATACTGGCCAGACACTAAATACCTTTTAAATTTAACTAATTAACAAAATTACCCAAACTAAGAATATTTAAACAAACGATAAACTAATTTCTCTTCCCATTACAAATGGTTTGATCCGCTGATTAGCCTGCAACCACCAATTGAGGAAAACTGTTTTGTTTTACTACCTGCTTTTATCATGTTTGCTTTTCTTTTCATTTTATTTTTCTTGTATTTTAATTTTTAATCCATGTAAAGAAATTTGAATTGCCCTTGTACTGAATTGTGGTACAGAAATAAACTTGCCTTAATTTAGTTTTTAGGTGTTTGAACGATCTTGCCACGCCTACTTACCTGTGGGAGTAAAAAGCAGAGTGGGCGGGGCCTTCTCTAAAACTCCTCCCCTCATTAGACGCTCCTTCAGTTTCTGCGTTCTTCAAATCCCAACATCAGTTTGACCTTGTTTGCTTTATCAGTTCTTTTTGTGTTTAATCTTTAAGCTCTTATTTCACTTTGTATGTTTTTTCCTTGCAATCCATTCTTTTTAAAATTATCTGCAGCGCTTTTTTTTTATTATGTTGTCTTTTCTAAAGTCTTTTTGTCTTGTTTTTTTTTATTTCAGAAAGATATTTGTGTTTATAAATACCTTTACTATATGCAGTCATAGGTTTACGGCTGAAAATAACGGGCTACTTCTGTAATGGCTTGACTTTTATGGTCATTGTAAAGCATAACACAAACTGTGGCGATTAAATCCAAAATCTGACTTCCCCATCCTTAGCTTTATTGCAGAAACCATCAAATTTAACTGAAGGAGTAACAAATTTATGGGTGGTTTATCTTTACGATTCAGCTGCCACCCAAATAATCTTGTTTTTTTTGTTGTTGTTTTTTTAATGCCTTGTTGTATAATCACTATGAGCAATTCACAAGCGCTTCCCAACCAGATAAAGCTACATTTCTTCGTACGTATTTGTTGATTTCCTTTCTTCTGTAAAGCAGACTCTCATATCTATGGCTGCTTTAATAGGCCGTAATAAATAGACAGCAGCCACCTGAAGTCTGTGGGTTGTTTTTTTTTTATATCAGGGCTTCCTCTTTGTGTGGGTAGCGTGCTACCAAGCACCCGCTGCATTTCATTAGAGGCTAATGAAGGGTTGCTTTGGTTGACCCTGGAGGATTCCGGTGGAAAGATGAATATGTTTATAACATTTACTCTAGGAAGGTGAAGTGAGTCAGGAGCTGCAGAGATGTCTGTTTGTGTTTTTTTTGTTATAATGGCCTGATATATTCAAAAAAAAAAAAAAAAAAAAGGGAAGTGAGAAAGAAACTGAGAATGTTTGAATCTCTACACAAACTCAGTCAGGCTTGATTTCTATCTTGATTTAAAGTAAAACGTTTTATCCAAACCAGAGTGCATGATGAATTCCTCCTCACTTGACAAAAATGTCTAACGAGCGCTTTTCTTTCTCCCCCCCCCCCCCCCCTTTTGTCTGCAGTTCTGCTGGCTGAGCCCATAGAGAACGAGTGCATGGAGGGGTTGACGCTGAAGATCACCGATTTCGGGCTGGCGAGGGAGTGGCACAAGACCACAAAGATGAGCACGGCCGGCACCTACGCCTGGATGGCCCCGGAGGTCATCAAGTCCTCCACCTTCTCCAAGGGCAGCGACGTTTGGAGGTGAGTCAGCTTAGAAGGACCCCCATTTTAAAGGCATGGTGTCTAAGCAAAAAAAAAAAGGCTTTGAAATTGAACATTTAAACCGAAAGCGCTTCCTGGATGGGAAGCGAAACGTCTTCAAACGTTGGAATAAAAGTCCAGTGGTTTGTTTTTTTTTGGCTATGATCTGGATGACTGAGAATCTTCACCAGCATCATGGAGGGGAGGTTCAGATTCTACCTAAGGGGGGAGAGATTGCTGTTTTCTGGTTCACCGAAACCTTAAAAAGGCTGATATGTATGGAGTGAATTTTGTGCCATTATTATTGCACAACAAATGCTTTCTAAATGGAAATTGAAAAAAATCCAGAAATGAAAGATTGTAAAACTTCTTTATTAAAAAAAGGTTCTAAGAGTTTTCAGATTTTCAGAACTTTCAAATGGTCTTTTTTATTAATTTTTATTATTTTAAAAATCTATATATTTAACTTGTCTTTTTCAGTTTGAGTTTTGCAAATTGCATTTTACAGATCACATTCTCTTCACTTTTGGGGGCGGGCTTTCCTCTGGAGGGAGGAGTGAAGATGCATTTGTTTTGGTCTGCATGGAAGCTAGCAACAACATTTTCACTGGTAAAGAGCTTAAAATAAGAAATGGGAAAATGTAAAATGCAGCTTAAAAGAAATGCATTTAGTAAAACTCTATCTGAAGTAAGAGAAATTAAGAGATAGAATTTCTTTATTTGCTTTGGTAAAATCTTTTGGAAAAATTAAAGTTTTTAAAAATACCATTTAAAATTAAAATTGAAATACAATTGAAAACATATAGTATTGTTTACTCCTAAAACCTTTTTTTAATTGAAAAGCTATTTTACAGTTTCATTTCTTGATGTCATTTTTTTCAGCTTTTCATTTAGAAAATATCATCTTCGTTTTAACAAAAAAGGAACAAACTTCACTCCATAGGCTCGCCATTTCCTATTTGGGTCGATGTTGAATTTTTATGTTATTTTGCAACGTAAAAAAAACAAAACAATTTACCTTGAATATTTTTATTTTACGAACAAATAACAACTACTAGCTAACACGATAAAGTCAGTAAACTTGCCCGATTACAACACATTTATTGAAACCTCGATCCATCACTGAACCGGTTGTCTGTGTTGGAAAATTCAGATTTCTCTTATTTCTTATATTGATTTATGCCATTTACTCGCTATAAAAGTTTTTTACCCAGTTTGTTTCACCTGCAAGGTCTCTAAATGTCTTAGTAAGGGGGTTTGTAAGCAAGGCATACTTATTTCCATAACAAGCCAGCTTCTTTCCTCAAGGTTTATTCATAACATCTTACTGTTTAACCAAAGTGTCTGTAATTTGTTTTGATTCTGACTACTTTCCTGTATTCTAAGTAAGGGCGAATGAATGCTGCCCAGATCAGAACAGGGCTGATTACCATTCAATGATAAACCGTTCTCTCTTTGCAAAGTTAAATTAAAGTGCAGACTGAGCGAAATCCATCGATCTCTGTTTATTTAACTGGAGTGAATAGTTAAATACTTTTTTCCCGGGACAGTTGGCTTTCTAACTATAGTCCCTTTTTACTGCAGCCACATGTAACATCAGCCTAAAATAGCATCACCTAAATGCATCTTATTCGCATTTTCTTTTTTTTTTTAATTACATTTTTTTAAGTTTGTTTAAATCTGCTTCACTTTCGGATGGATATTCGGCTAATGTCAGGATTGCCAGTGGCATTTTGATGTTGAAGGAAGTGGGTGTGGTAAAAATCAGAAGAAGGCAGGGTTCCTGCGGGTCCTTAAAAAGTCTTAAAAGGCATTGAATTCTTCAAAATAAAACTAATTGGTATTAAAATGTCTTAATTCAGTCTTTCGTAGGTCTTAATTTTTAAAACATCATAAGTAGGATTATTTTTATTACGATTTATTTTTGTAATCTAAATAAAATGTTAAAATTGACAATTTTTTATATATTTTTTTTCATAAAAAAAAAATAACGCCTCGCCATTATTGGTTCCGTCCCGATAGAGGAACCAATAAAAGCGTTGTTGAGGATGTTTGGGAGATGCACCATTAACTTTTTGTCTGGAAAATATGAGCAAGTGTAAATGTAACCAAAATTGTCTCCAGCCAAGAGTTTTCTCCATGGCTAAAACCAGGGAACATACATGAGGCTCAGTGGATTTATGCAAGAAGTCATTCAAGCTCAGAACGATGGGAATTAAGGCAGTGGAGTCGCATGCGAAGCACGAAACACAAAGCGTCACAATGTAGTTACGGAGAAACAGCCGGTATTTCTCGGTTTTGTTCCACCCTTGTCTCTGCAACGCCTCCACTTATCACCAAATCAAACATACTAAGAAAACCATACAAAGAAAAATAGCTGCAAAAAAGACTTAGCACTGGTTATGTTGTGGCTTTAAAACCCGATTTGTTTTGTTCCCTGCCAAAACAAAGTTTGTGAATTCAGTTAAATAATTGTTAAAATATTAGGGATGCACGATATTGGGATTTTGGCCGATATCCGATATGCTGATATTTCAAAACTCATGTAGCCGATAACCAATATCGATACCGATGTTAAAGCTGGACAAAAATACGTAGTTATTGAAAATAGCAGTTTTGTTATCTATTTCTGACACTTTGAAAAATAATATACTCAAATATATTTTCATATGCTGATGTCAAATTGATTTTTAAAAACGCGGTATCGATCTATTTTACTTTCAAAATCTCATGAAATTTCATCGTTCTGTTACAAATTCTCGTGATATTTTGCAAATTCTTGTGAGATTTTGTTAGTAAAATAGATCGATACCGCGTCAATATATCAGCATATAAAAATATGGCAAAATTTTGTGAATTTTCGGGGGATTTCGTAGCATAACGATGACATATAGCAATATTTCATTAGTAAAAGAGATTGATATGGTGTTTTTAAATAGCAATATATCAGCATATGAAGATATTGGGATATTTTAATGTATCAATATTTTTTCCCTCGTCTTTAGAAGTTTTTAAGTCTGTAAAAAAGAAGTTTTTGAGGAAGAAGAAGAAGTAGTGTTTTTTATATTTTTTTTTAGACTTTAGAAACTCAGAAGCTGATCAAATATCGGGTTAAATATCGGTGGGGTGGCCGATGTCCGATATTCAGTTTTAAGGCCGATACCGATAGGGGGCCGATTATATCGTGCATCCCTATGTTTAACCAAAGTGTCTGTAATTTGTTTTGATTCTGACTACTTTCCTTTATTCTAAGTAAGGGGGAATGAATGCTGCCCAGATCAGAACAGGGCTGATTCCCATGCAATGAGGGCCGTATGATAAACTGTTCTCTTTGCACAGCTAAAATAAAGTTCAGACTGAGTTAAATCCATCGATCTCCGTTTATTTAACTGGAGTGAACAGTTAAATACTTTTTTCCCAGGACAGTTGGCTTTCTAACTATAGTCCCTTTTTTACTGCAGCCACACGTAACGTCAGCCTATAATGACGTCACGTAAATCCATCTTATTCACATTTTCTTCTTTTTTATGACAATTTTTTACGTTTGTTTAAAATCTGCTTCACTTTCGGATGGAAACTCGGCTAATGTCAGGATTGCCAGTGGCATTTTGATGTTGAAGGAAGTGGGTGTGGTAAAAATCAGAAGAAGGCAGGGTTCCTGCGGTTCCTTAAAAAGTCTTAAAAGGCATTGAATTCTTCAAAATAAAACTAAAAAAATTTCTTAAATCAGTCTTTCGTAGGTCTTACTTTTTAAAACATCATAAATAGGATTATTTTTATTATGATTTATTTTTGTAATTTAAATAAAACGTTAAAATTGACAATTTTTTATTTATTTTTCTATTAAAAAAAATAACGGCTCGGCATTATTGGTTCCGTCCCGATAGCGGAACCAGTAAAAGCGTTGTTGCGGCCGGGACATTTGGGAGATGCTCCATTTACTTTTTGTCTGGAAAATATGAGCAAGTGTAAATGTAACGAAAATTGTCTCCAGCCAAGAGTTTTCTCCATGGCTAAAACCAGGGAATGTACATGAGGCTCAGTGGATTTAGTGCAAGAAGTCATTCAAGCTCAGAACGATGGGAATTAAGGCAGTGGAGTCGCATGCGAAGCGCAAAACACAAAGCATCAAAATGGAGTTACTGAGAAACAGCCGGTATTTCTCAGTTTAGTTCCACCCTTGTCTCTGCAACGCCTCCACTTATCACCAAATCAAACAAACTAAGAAAACCATACAAAGAAAAATAGCTGCAAAAAAGACTTAGCACTGGTTATGTTGTGGCTTTAAAAATGATTTGTTTTGTTCCCTGCTAAAACAAAGTTTGTGAATTCAGTTAAATAATTGTTCAAATATATCTGTCATTTGTGTGTTTTTAGCTTTCTTCCTGTTTGGGAAGCTTTGAAACATTAGTTCAGTGGTTTATGTTAAAATTAACCTTTGGGTTAAGTTGTCGCAAGCAGGTTTTTTTTGTTTCTTGTGAATTTGGTCTTAAATTTTTATTTCAAGTGGCATTAAAAAGTCTTGAATTTAACTTGCCTTATTCTGTAGGAACCATGAAAAGGATAGAGCATATTTTTATATAAAAAATCTGCATGTTTGAAAGTTGAACAGTTCATCTCTGGGTAAATTTGGTGACACATTTCCACACAGTCAGGCCTGCTTTTAGTGTTTGGTATCAAGTTTCAATATCTAACTTATTCTCTCTCTGTTTCGATCCCTTTCTCTCTAATTCTCCTTATTTATGATGATCCAAAAACATTGAAATCCAAAACATTTGAGCTGCTTGAAAAATGTCTGCAAGTTCCAGTAACAATCACCTGCTTCCAAATACGACATGAAATAATCCTGATAACTCAGGAAGTGTTTAACACGGTGACAGTGGGCGACACAAGGTGCCGCCTGTAAGACTCTAACCAGTTCCACAGCAGAAACAAACGGATCGGGGATTAGGGAAATTACCGTCAGCGATAGTTTTAATTTCACTAATCCACATTGATGG